GTTTGTTGGCCTCATATATATATATATAAGATATTTTATATGACATTATTTGTTATCAGTATAAATGTTATTTGAGTTACTATCCCGGCTTTTTATTTTGTTAAACAGGAAAATTGATAACTGGCCTAAATTGAGAAGTCCTCATTGAAAAAATTGTGCTTCCAACAGAATTCGAACCTGCATCCCTTTTTTTCCCCTCCATGGACACCACATTTTGAACTAAAGTATCCATCGAGCAGTTCACGGTACTATGCTGACAGGGCAAGGTTAGATTTCGCTATTAATGAAAGCACATCTTTCTCCTCCTTGGGATATTTACATCTGCTCGCTCCCGTTTGGAACTGCGTAAACAGGGGTAGCTTCTCACATTAAACTCCTTTCAAAAATGACTATTGTTTACGTTTCTTGGCAATGATTAGAATTTTGATAAAAATCCAAACATATGAAAGTGGATTTATACATTTTATTTTATTCTTCAGAATTGACAACAAATAAAAAATAAAATAAAAACTATATATTTACTAGATTGCTTACTTACACAAATAATTTTATACTTAAATTATAAAAATATGTAAACAAACTGAGAGTATGCGGTATTATGGTATATGGAGTATTGATTGGTGACGGATGAGTTCTCGTGGTGAATGTGCGAATTGTAATGAGTGAATGGATCGTGAATCGGATTAGCCAGGTATAAGATAGTTTAAACAAGCCTCAACGGATTCACCCTTTTCGGCCTTGTGCCATACTTGTATTTTTATACAATAAATATCAGTACTATTAATATTAAGAAATAAAACATTAACAAAGATATTAAAATAAAAAAAACAACAGATCTCTTGAAAATTATGAGTTGATTAATTTCTTCGAAACTTGAAGCTGGGTGATAAGTTTTGGAACCTTTTTTATTTTAATTTAATTTACTATAGTGTACTTAGAGATGGACAGTTTTACGATTTCATTTTTAAGTATCAGGATAAAATATTCTTTCTTAAACAAATCAGATAATATTTTATTTATTTTTGTTCTTGTCGCTCCGGCACAATAAAATTGCACAGCAGACCCCCGGTACACACACACAAAAAGCATCGAATGAAGAAAAGTAATAATGTTTAAAAATCCGTTGAGAACTGCAGTGTGCGATAGTGTTAATTTTACGCAGAACCAAAGGATAAAAGCTGTCCCTCAAGTGCTTTGTCCTAGAAATAAAACTTTGCCTTTTGATGGTAACAAACCAAAACCAGTGGTAATCGGAATGTGTACTTGTCTTTGTTTATCTGCGACGACGAGAATTAGAAATGTCCTCCAAGGAGGGCAGCGAGCAGCCGATTATTTTCCGAGCAACATCTATCATCCTTTGGAAAGCTTTTGTGTGTGTGTGTGTGTGTGTGTGTGTGTGTGTGTGTGTGTGTGTGTGTGTGTGTGTGTGTGCGCGCGCGTTTGTGTGTGATCATTTAAGTAACAATTCAACACATCATTTATTTGTTTTTATAATAGAAAGTGACAAGAGGAAAGAAAAACTTATCCGACGCGTCTCGTTCTTTGAGGGAAAGGCAAATTCTAGGATTTTATTTTGTAACAAGTATTTATAGACAAGGACCAGTGGCGGATCAAAAAGGTGGGTGGGGGTTGTTAAAAAAATCTAATAATTTGTTTTTTTAATTTTATTTTATTTTTTTTTTTTTTTCACATTCATTCCTTTTTGTTTGGAACATATGACATGCCGCCTTGTTGGCGACCTTAGCTTTTAATAAGCTCGGGCAACTGTCTGAAATGCCGGTATTTTGATCTAGCCCTGCTGTGAGTGACATATTACTGAGATTGCAACACCACACCAGGACATTCCAAAAAATATTTCCACTATTTTGTACAAACAATATTTGCCGCTCCCCTCTATGTTTTTGTATTGCGAAAATCGACCGAAATAATTTTTGTGTCGTTTTTAAATTATTTTTAATAAAAATACAATGCCCGAAGACTTTTTTTTTATTCAGTGATTTCAAAATCAATTGTGAATATGCTGACATTTTAATGAAATTTTTGGTATTTTATTCATTAATAAATTAATTCTATAATGAATAGCTTTTTTAAAGTTAAAACCCTCCTAAGTAATAAAAAAAAACATTTTCTCAAGGTTTTTTAACCTTGAGAAAATGTTTTTTTATTACTTAGGAGGGTTTTAACTTTTGTTTATTTAAATAAAAATAAAAAAAAATTCCAGTCGCTAATTTTTACATTTCCAGAAGATCAAAACGAGAAGATTACATATAAAAAAGAATTAAACACTCTGAAAAAGTTATTTGAAAATTTTAATTTTGTTTTTAAAAAACTCAAAAAAGAATTTTTATACCATGTTTGTTTTGTCTTTTAAAAACAATGTTTTTTTTTTCTTTGGGTTGATCCCAAAACAAATTTCATCTGATACAATTTACCTACATCTTATTTACTTAAAAATTTTACAGTGAATTTTGAAAGCCTTCGAACCCTTTCTGCCTAAAATGAAATAATTGTAATTAAATAAAGATATATTTAATCTATCTAAAAATGTATGATTAAAACTTCCCAATGTAGAATAACATATTTTCCGAAATTTTCATATATATCGGAAAAATTAAGAACGATTTTGTTGCTTGAAGAAATAAAAGAAAAGTCGTCTTCTTCTTTGAAGTCTTAAAATTTTTAAGATTATAATTATGGAGAAATAAAATTGGTTTCCTTTTTTCTTAAGTTGTGCTCCTTCCCAAATCAGAGATCTTTTGGGCGGAAAATTAAAATTAAAAATAAAATAAAATATCGCATTTTTTCAAATATTTTTGTTAGATTATAATTTATATTTTTCTCTTATTGTCCATGATATTTCAAAGTATTTCCATTATTATTAATATGTTTAATTAATAATTTGATTAATTGAAAGTTCTGATATATTTTTTTACATATCACGGGATACTGATTAGATTTAAGAGCAAAACCATTGAATCAAAATAAGGATTACATTTGATTTTGATGGTAAATGATAACACACATGTATCTTAAGAAATATTTGGGTTTTATTGTTTTATTGCCCTAATAAAGTTTACCCATGATATATTTTATGAGTCCATGGTGCCTGCATTTAAATTTAAAAATTAGGAAGGTACTATTTTGCCACTCCATGCGCAGTAACGACCCCTCGTTATTTTTTTACCAACATAACTGCTTGAATTTATGCAAGAAGTCTAAACTCATAAAAAAAACACTAGCTTAATTATTTGGTTATCTTCAAGATACACAATCCCAAAATTTTCAGCTCATTTTTTTAAGGAATGCTCTCTTGATAGCAGCAGCAGGAGCCAGTCTCGTACGCCCTTTTGATCTGCTTTTTTCGGGAAATTCTGAAATAATGTTTGATTTGTTTTCATTGATATATATTTATTGAAAAATGCCCAAATTAAATTATTGTAAAAGAAAATTATTTAAGAATTCAGATGAAAAACAACAAGTTTATTTTCCCGAAGAAAACAGATCGAAGAAGCGTCCGAGGCTGACTGCTGCTGCTAATTTGAAGGCGACATTCCTAAAATAAATAAAAAAAAGGTGAAAAATTCAGGAGTGCGTATCTTGAAGATAACCAATTATTTGCTTTTTTATTGGAAAATGTTGATATAAACCCTTGGATCAGTTGAAGACTCCCCCCCCCCACCAGACTGATCAACTGTAAAATCTCTACCCTCAACTTAAGTCAACTGTAAAATCTCCTCCCAGGTTGATCAACTGTAGATATTTGAAACTTGTTAAAAATGAATGCTATTTTTTTCTTTTCAATTGGTTCTTTTCGTAGATTTTTTAAATAAGGAAAAACATTCGTAATAAAGTAAAAATAGAAATATATGCGATTTAAAGTTTGTTTAAATTTCGAAAGTTTTTACTGTACATGCAATTTTTAAAGCTTAAAAGCTGTATAAATATCAGAGATTTTCAATTGATTTTCCATAAAATCAATGTTTTAGAATTATTATGTGAAAATAACATTCTACATTACATTTTAATTTCTTTGAGAAATTTTTAAACTAAAACACAAAACGATTAAAGATTTGTTTCTCTAAAACACAAAAACAAAGTTAAATCAGAAGTGTAATTATTTAATATTGACTTTTAATGTTTATTGTTTAAAAAATTTATTAAAATAAATTTTTTAAGATGTTTTAAATAACCGGCTGAACTGATGGAAATAATTAAATTGCTATTAAATATTTCTGTCCTTATAAATTTAGTTTCATTAACATCTTTCATAACGTCGTAAGGTTAAAAAAAAAAAGTATACACCGGCAAGGGGGTATTTACTTTGCCTAAATTATGAATTGTCAGTCAGTTCTCTGGAGAATAAGTTAATTTTTAATACAAGTATCAGAGGTGAACATTTCTTATTAAATTTTAATGATTTTTTCATACAAATATTCAATGTTCAGTTATTTTTATTACGACCATTACTATAGATTAAATTTTAAATTATTATATTAAATATAAGAATGTATAAAAACATTATAGTAAATTTTAAAAATTGAATTTAAGAAAAGATTTAAACAATCATTGACTGTATAGGATAAACTCCTGTAATTATTTACTTCTATTTATAAGCAATACTTCCCTTTGCCATTATAAAATGCGAATGAGTCACGAATGTGTTCAGCTAATTTTGGGATAGTTAATAAATTATCAACCATTTTTTACAATCCCACTTTCAGCTACTTTCAACGTTGTGCCAAATTGTATCTTAGTACAATAAATAAAAATTCCCTCTGCTGTTGAGTATGATCTTTTCCTATTTGTTTTCTTTTTTTATTTTTTTATCGATTAGAATGAGTAAACGGCAAAAAATGAGTGATGCGGCTTCTTACCGCAAGTTGAAAGCTACCAGAAAACATGAGGAAAGAAAATGTACTGCATCTTTACAGGTTTACCTACAGAAGAAATATTTAGCTAAAGCAAAATGCAAAGACGAGGATGTTGAATGTACATCAGAACTAGGAGGGGGAGGAACATGGAGAAAATGCGAATATGGTGGAGACAAATATAGAAATAAAAGTTGTTAAAGAAATTGAAGGTGACAATGATGATGTGCCAAAAGAAGAGAGTCCTGGTGCATGTGGTAAGGACAGGTATGAATATGAAGAAGGAACTGATGATGTTACTGGAAATAAGGAAATAGAACAGACAAACACAGAGATTCCTGTGTACGAAGACATCGCATTTTGGCCACGAACTTGCTCAGAGCCATTGTTTGTTGATCTTGTAACAGTGAGACCTAAATAATTTCAAAACAAAGATGAACCGTGTAATACCTGGGAAAAATAGTCCGAGGGTAATGCGACCACACTAGTTTTATAAAACTATGGAGAATGGAGAGACTGTTTTGAGATCATGGTTGCTGAATTCAAAGACGAATAAATCTCTTTACTGTTTCTGCTGTCGCCTCTTCCTGAAGACAGAGCAATACAGATCAACTCTAGCAAGAATCCATTGTTTAAAAAGTTCTGGAAGCTTAATTAAAAAATGCCTGAACATGAAAATTCGTCTGACCACCAAAGAGCATTCAAGGAATGGAAGATATTGGAAATGGCCCTTAATAAAGGTAAAAACCCTTGACAGTAAATTACAAACTATGTACTTGATGTCGTGAAGTTTCTGACGAAACAATCTGTCTTTTAAAGGTCATTGAGAAGATGTATATAATTCCAATAAAGGTAAGTTTATAGAACTTGAAAGAAGTAAATGATAACCGGTGGTACATGTCACCAAAAATCCAAAATGAATTCATTCATATCTTGGAAAACCACGTAAATGAAAATATATTGAATCGAATTGGAAGCGCCATTTATTTTGCGATCATACTAGACATTTCTCATACTGATCAGATGAGTCGATATGTCGTTGTTGAAGACAAAAAAGTGGAAGTGCGGGAATCATTTCTTGGTTTTATCACTGAGCATGGGAAGACATCTTATGATATCAAGAAAATGATTTTGGATCGACTGGAGAAAAAGAAATTTGATTTTGAAAAATGTAGAGGGATAGTATTTGACGATGAGGGTAATATGGCTGGAGTTCATGGTGGTGTTCAACGTCTTCTACGAAACATAAATGGGAAAGTTATATTTGTGCCATGTTCTAATCATAGTCTGAATTTATACGGTGTTCATGCCTCAACTGTGAATGCAAGTGCCATTAAATTTTTCAGAGTGATTAGGAGACACTATATATTTTATCTTCGCATGTGAAGGTCATAATGACCCGTTGGAGCGCACATTACGAAGCTATTCGTATAGTGAAAACCGGATTTCAAGGAGTGATTCAGGCACTCGATTCATTAACCACAGCTTCAGAAAATCTTTAAATGATCTTGCTTTCAATTGAAAACTTCTCCTCCATGTCACATTTATCTTACTGGGAAGAAATTCTGGGACAAATAAATCCAAAAGAAACTTCAAGAACCTGGTATTGGTTTGGATGTGTGTGTAACCTACATGGATATGACCAAAATTTTCTATAACCGAAACAGTGATAGGGTGGGGACTGATTCACTTGAAGTAAAACAGTGCGAGGAAATTAAAATTCCATTTTAAAAGTGGATTAGAAGAAAGAGAAAGATACCTGGGGGAAAAGGAAGATGATGTGCAAGAAGTAAAGAGAAATCTTTATAAATGTCATGATCGACTTGTAAATGAACTGGAAGGACGATTTGACTCCATGTCTTGTCTGCAAACTGTCGTCGCTGGATTATCATCGCAAGCAATCCTGGAAGATACTGAAGGCGAGTTGGAGCGAAAATTTAAAGTTCTCTATAGCGAATAGTGCTGAGTTAGACGTATCTAGGCTGCCTTTAGAAGTTCTCCGACTTCGGGATTTTTTAGCAGCAGCTTCCAAAGTGGAACGTGACATCATCGGCTATTGAATGGCTGAGATGGATTTATTGATGACAAGTTCAAGAAACATTGCCAAATATTGTGATTACTCTACGGCTGTTTTTGACGCTTACAGTTTCTGTTGCTATTGCAGAGAGAAGCTTCTCAAAACTGAAGCTCATAAAAAGTCACTTGAGATCAAGTATGTCGCAAGATCGCTTATACAATTTTTCTATCATTTCAATTGAACATGAAACTGTAAAGAAGATAGACTTTGACCAAATTATTAGTAACTTTGCTTCTGCAAAAGCTCAAAAGGTTAAAATATGATAACGTTTGTTCAGCTAATCTTTAAATTTGTTGTTTTTCAAGTACTAACCAAAGCCATTAAGGGGATTTCATTTATATTTTTCCTTCCCCAAAATGGAGGTGACATTATGAAAACGGGCTCCAGGCTGCACTTTGTTTCGGTACGACCCCCGACAAGAAATAATCGTCCACGAAGATAACATTTCATTATGCATTTATTCATATTGTCCTTTTACAGATATATTCTACCTTGAATTATATATATGGGTAAATGTCGTCAACATCATTTAATCAAGTCATTCAAATTTTTGTCAGGGGACCGAAACAAATTGAATAGCAGCCTTTCATTCTTTATGCTTCACGATCTGTTTTTTTGTGTCATCTGTTTCCCAAAGATTTTCATTTCTCTCTCTTGATACATATATACATACATACATACACACACACACACACACACACACACATACATATATATATATATATATATATAAGTATATATTCTGTAAATGCCAGTCATATCAATCTTCTATTACCTGTTCTTTTTGTTTCTTTTTGTTTCTTTTCTGTTCTTTTTTTGTTTCTTTTGTTTTTTGTTAAAATAAACCGCTAACACTTACGTATGATAAACCGGATACTATTTTCCAGAATTGATTTTAGTCTCTCTTAAATAGATAGATAGTGGTACCTTGTATCACGGTGATAGTCCAAGGCAGAACCAATAAAGAAGAACTCGAACACAGGTATGGAATAACACAGATATATTACAAACAGGAATATATACAGAGACGTAGAAGTGTTAGTATGAACAATCAAGTTTAGTAGAGAGAACAATTTAGTTTCGACCTCACTATTCCAATGTCTTGTAGTAATTGTCTGAACGCGACTCTGTTTCGGACTGCCTCTGACTAGACTCTTGACTCGACTTGAACTACTGACTCTACTGACGATATTCAGTCACCCCCCCCCCACGAGGGTGTCATGTGGCACAAGACCTTTTTAATGTGGGCATTCCGAGCCCGTGGGCTCGGCCAAAAATATGCCCATTGAACCCGTATAAACGGGTTCAGGGCCGGTCTACCTCCCCGAAGGAGACTCCGCCCTTCGGCGTAGCCTCGTTCAGGTTCCTCTCCGCCCGAATGCAGAGAGTTCAACCGAACAGTCTCTCAGAAAGTACTGGGTCGACGACTGACGATATTCAGTCAACCCCCACGAGGGTGTCATATGGCACAAGGCATTTTTAACGTGGGCATTCCGAGCCCGTGGGCTCGGCCAAAAATATGCCCATTGAACCCGTATAAACGGGTTCAGGGCCGGTTTTACCTCCCCGAAAGAGGCTCCGCCCTTCGGCGTAGCCGCCTTCGGATTCCTCCCGTCCGTAGGAAGAGAGTTTAACCGAACAGTCGCTCAGAAAGTACTGGGTCGACTGGACTGACTCCTTGCCTACTCCTAAGGCGCAGTATTTATTAAATATGGAATATCCATTATTATTATTATGGGTAAGATCCCATAACAGATAGATAGATAGGCAGGGTGCTCTGGATAAATTGTCTAAATTACGTAAAAAGGAAAATAACACTGACAACACATTTTAACACACACACACACACACACACACACACACACACACACACACACATATATATATATATATATATAATGCTGTTATCTTTTGAAAATAAAATTCTTGAATACTTTTAAAATAAACTATTCATGAAATGAACTGCGTGTCTTTTACAGTCTGTTTACTTCTCCGTCCGTATCTTCTTTGACACTAAAACAAACGAATATATAAAATTAACAAGCGAATCCTGTCATGATTCGCACTGGAGGTAAGTAAAAGAAAAAGTCATATATCAATTATACCAGCACTTTACTAGATAAGAAACACGATAAAACTAACTTACAAATAATAAATTAAAAGGAGCGAATACCTACCTCACTGATGAGACAGAACAACGGACAGCGATATTCTGATGCGAACAGCGTCTAGATGTTTTTTTTTTTTTTATCAAAGGTAGGCTTTCCGAGACATATGTAAGTAATGGTGAAAATTTTGATAGTGACTATACGTCTCTATATAATTTCATTGAAAGATATGGGATGATGAGGAGTGATTCAATTTATTAAGACCGAAACTTGATTCAAATTTCAACGAAGGAAATAAGGAAAGGAATTCACTTCCATGAACAAATCAGCGACATCAGTAACAAAATGAATAAAAATATGAAATAATATTTTTCAACTGCAATAATTTTGCAATGCCACCATAGCATTTTAAAATATTTTTAAATGTCATGTCGCTTCAGGACATAGGCGATCATGACTATTCAGAGTCACTTTGTTTATTCTCTGTTAATTACCATAATGTCTTGAAAAATATAGTGGAATAATTTAAAAATTTAAAAAGAAAAAAATCAAAGTATTCATATATAAGGCAACTTATGAGAAAATTACAGCCTACTGTTATTTAATTAATAGCAAAGTTACCTGGCATTGTCCGGGCCAAATCTGGTTTATTTGAGCTAATGTATGATGCAGTTAGAATCTTCGTTTCAGAGATATCCATAGAATTCTATTAGCGAAATTGTCGTAATGATTGCAGTTTGATAAATTTAATAATTTTTTGTAGTCATTTATTCCATATACAACTTGTTATAAACTTATAATACATTTTAGATTTTCAAAATATACGTTTATAATGCATTACTTACTTTCACTTATTACCAAATTATGATCAAAATTCAAAGAGGCTCTCAGGGCAGCAATGGATTTATTATAAACACCCTCACAAAAAACGCTTATTTTTAACGTTCATAAAAAAACAGATTCGAAATTAATAATAAAATCCAGTTATTTTGAAAACGAATTTTTTTATACTCTATATGTAAATTAGTTTCTGTATTCGAAAATAACCACAATACTTGGTAGGATATAAGACACACGCTGGTATACTAAAACCAATAAAACCTGTAGTTCCTTTCTGAAGATCTGGGTTGAGTCCGAGATATTTTCATTTGGACTAATATCTTCATCTTTGTTGTTATCATCAGAACGTTTCGGTTGTTGGGCCCTCCTGACTTCATCAGATTTATATCCATCCGTAGATTACCCAAACCGATATACACATGGAGAAGTCCGGAGGGCACAACGGCCGGAACGTTGTGATAACAACAACAAAGATGAGGACAATAGCTCGAATGTAAATAAAAACGTAGTTATTTGCTGTCTCCGGTTCCCATATTTAAACATATTGACTGGCAACCACGTTTATATATTTAATTTTCAGTATTTCCATGGGACACAGAAACAAACTTTATATATTAAATTTATATTTTGATTATATTTTCTGCCTTTACGACTTGATGAGTAATTTTTCTTCCATTTGTCAACGTTTATAATTCAACCGTTTAATTTAAAAAAAAAACATATTCTTAACACCGAGATTTTTGACTAATATTTACATTGAAAATTTATCCCATGACTTCCACTTTAAATCGAAATTTCTGGCCTGCATAACCAATCTGATCCTTATCCCTAAATATTTACGTGGATTAGCTTATTCTGACATAGTGTGGATAAAGTCTTAATACGTATAATAAGCATAAATCTAAATTGTTAAATTGATTTAATTCCAAGGAAGCTTTCTCGGATTTAAATTTGTTTGTCTCATTAATTCAGTCATTTTACGGCAAATCAATGTTTAAAACTGTCATTCTCAGTGAAGTCATTAACTTTTGCTGTTATGCCTGACGGATGTTATTGGAATCTTTTAATGCGAATGGCATATCAATAATTTCATTTGCTGTACAAGCCTGAAAAATTAACCTCGGTTATGAGATATGACAGCTTGGACCCGTAATACCAAAATTTGAATGTTTCACGTTGTCTCCTTTCATACAAATTTTGCCAAAAGAGTTACATTTCCAAACAATTTACTGTGTTTTTTTTTTGTTTTTTTTGCTTTGTCTTGGGGAGATAGATAGATAGATAGATAGATAGATAGATAGATAGATAGATAGATAGATAGATAGATAGATTAATTAGACTAAGATAACAACAGCTTCAATGTTATGTCTTTTGAAAAACTATCTCCCCAGACAACGGTATGAAATCATTCACTCTAGCAATTCTCATAACTCGAAAAATCATTTCATATTTTGCATGTTTAATTTTTATTGAAACAGAAAAATAAATTCAACAACGAAAAAAATATTCTTCTCAGATTAATCGAATAATCACTTTACAGTATTATTTATTCTGATTTTCTATATTTTTCTCTTCATTTCAAAAGAACTTATAAATTTTGAACAAAATGTTAAACCTTTACCATTGTGGAGATGATTTTGTTTGAAAAGCAAAACATTTATCCTGCCACTGCAAGTAACTCAGATGAATGAATGATAGCGTTTTATTTTTTTAATTTTGAAGTTGTGTTGTCATATCCTGCTATGACAACAGAAAATGATCCTGACTGAAATGCAGTGCAGTCGGGGAGCCTTGAAAAACAATGCAGTAGAAAGGAAAGGAGTGAATAATGCAGTGTGTTAAAGGTTAATGTCACATGAACAAACGCTATAAAGGCTATGACAGACGGATTCGATTGCATTTTGACCATATAGAATCTAGATAAATAACTCGACTGTATAAAAATCTGAGGAAAATATGGAACGTGAAGGTGATAGCCGTAATGAAAACAGGTTTGGGTAGCCTAAGAAAAAATCTAACGAATTTACAAATCAGTAAGAGAGAGACCATCAAGAGGAAATTACCACTAATATCAGATACTTAGGAGAGTCCTGGAGAATTAAGAAAACGTGTTATCAATTAGAATCTAGTGAAAAATAATAAAAGTCAATGTTTTCTTTTTCAGAGTATGCGTTTTCTAGTTCATCAGGTTTCGATGCAAAGATTCACTTAATATTAGTTTTAACCTCTTTGCAATTAATAACGTTTCTCTTCTAAAAAAATATTTCAATGGTCTGAAAAGATGATAGATGCTGCAGAGTAATGAAGATGAGGTAAAAGTTCGAAATTCAGTACCATCATCTTTCCAAGTATGGCTCAGGCAATAAGAGGTCTTGTATTATCGTCTAAGATTAATACGACTTAACTAACTAGACGCTTTTTTCTGCAGATCGTTACGCACCGCTTCCAATTGATGGCAAATACTGTTTCATTTTGATTTAACATTTCCTCATAGATGACGCATTTCATATGCTACCAAACACAGAACGTAACCTTGTCCGGGTGTAATCCTCGTTTGGGATGTATTATCTTTCTCAATGTGTGCTAATGATTATACGCAGGAAAGGTTCAGTAGCAAGCATACTCTTCAATAACAGGTAGGGGACAAATCTCTAATTAAGCTGAACAGATTGTAACAATATTTAACATGGCGTACGGAAGAAAAGGGTTAAAACAAAACGATTTTAAATTTTTGTCAAAAAGAGAATTATTTTCCCAGGATATCGGAATTTGAATTTTGTTGAAAAAGTTAAACAATGCATTTCGGCTAACAGGTGCAGAATCAGATGCCAGAGATTAAGGTCGGCTGTTGAAAGATGTCCGACTTGACTATGTGCTGAGAAATTTTGTCCGACAAACTTCCTGAAAAAGAAAAAATTAAAAATTATAATTGTAAACAGAATAAAGGCAGGAAATGACGTCAGAAAGGCTGGCATCATATAATGGTTCCTCCCGAAAGACGAGAGGATATTCCAAAATTGGAAATATGAAATAGAAAACGAAAGAAAACGACTGGTTGAATTTTGGGAGATTTGCATAAAACCCATCTATTCGCCTGCACCATACCAGTTGAAAGGGACACCCATAAATACAAGTGCCCACGTAGACCAAAGTTAGTTGGGACCAGCCAGTCGGGGGAGTTGGAGTTGGAGAGAGTTGGGGCCAGTTGCAGTCGGAGGAGTTAAGAGATTTCTGATATAACACTTCTTGCCAACGTAAGGATAATAATAATTAATTATCGCTGAAGAAAGACTCTGACGAATAACCTTGTGCCGTCCGTGAAAGTACAAATCACAGTACTTGAAGATTCTTCAAAGAAGCTATCCGAAATTTTCGTTCCGTCGCCAGTTATTAGAGCGGGTTGGGAAAAGTGAAAAAGAACAAAGAAAGAACTGTAAATATTTTTTTTTATTCTGATATAAACATCATATCGTGGTTTATTCAGGCGTCGTCCATTTTATTTTTCAATTTTGTGTGCACGTGTTCAACTACTTGGTTTAGCGAGGTTAAGATACCCCAGTGGGAATTCGACTTGACGCTCTTAAGATCAAAATCACAAGAGAGGTCACAGTTGAAGAGGTCAACTTTGAGACTAGCTGCTGTGTCAAACGCCATCAACGACCGACGAGTGCACTGACGGCTTGTTCTCTGATACCGGGATCGATCCTGATCAAGCGAGCAGACCGAACCCGGTCGCCGCGGGCAGGCTGTAGCTCCAGGAATACGTCCTAATTGGTGCTGTGACCGGGCCGTATCCCTGAATCCGTCATATTTGGTGCTGTGACCAGGCCGTAGCCCTGAACACCGTCATAAGATGATGAAGGAACCACTGACCAAATTTAAACACTTCCAAGTTCGACGCTCAGCCTTAAATTTAAATTTTGATGTTCGGCGTATAAAATTTTTAACTTGTTTAAGACAGTAGTTTCTCTTGCATACCAGGAGATGTAAGCTTGGATGTGCAGTTGGTGTAATGAATGACGGTTATGAATGAGAGTTCGAATCCCAGTCGGATTCGTTATATTCTCTTACGTACAAATACCCTTGGGAAATGTATGAATCCACTTCTTCTCCAATCTATGGGTTGAATAGTAAAAATTTATCAGAAAATTATTTGTATCAATGCAAAAACTTCTTACAACCCCAAAATGGGTCAACTTTAAAAAAAAAACATTAAAAAAGGTTAATAAGTCGTAAAACCAAATCAAACAACCTCTCATTCAACTTTTTATCGCTTTTTTGTTTTTATTTTTATTGCTATTGTTTTTAATTTTCCCGACATTTTATAAGCAGTAATTCTGTGAGTAATGAAGATCCGGGGCATAAAATTACCGCCGATGAGGATTCAATAATTAATGTATTGTTAATAAATTTTTAGCATTCTACTACCACATTCTTTCGACGTCAATTTTTGTAAAAACTAAACACAAACTTTGATATTTCACTGATTAGTCAATTAATGCCAATATCATGCTTTCGTCTACGTCAGCCAGGTTAAAATTAATTTACCGCCAAAATTTGGTTATGTGTTCGGGAGCCTATCACGTGATTCACATTACTTTTAAATACTTAGCGACATCTTCAACTCTTCCTCTTTTGCCTTCTCTCACATACAAAATGTAGCTGTGGAGAAATCGCTTTTGTCCCTTAGGGGAAAACGCTATAAAACGTCATGTCACGCAACTCACACGCGTACACGTACGTACGAACAACGCACATCTTGGAACATTGCATATCTAGGAACATTCACTCCTTCAACTAATAGAACACAGAAATTTATCAACTTCTAACAGTGAGATTTTCTTCAGCAACAAACATGCCGTCCGAGAGAATACAACTTTCGACTCTTATCAATTTTTACCAGTGAGAAATTTTACATCACATCTTCTGGAGCTAAAGTTTCTTATCAACATAAACTCGGCTTCCCAGAACACACTCACTCAATTCATCTCAACCAATGTCATTCCTCTACGATAAACGAATTTAAGCTGCAAAATATTTCAATATATCTATGCTGATTTTCAACGAAGTGTTAAACTAAAAACTACATTTTTACTACCAAATACATATTTTCGATATTCAAATGAAGATTACATTTGCTCTCAATCAACAATTTTCTTTGAACTCATCTTTCAGCCTACAACACCTTCTTATCGAAAACATTCTTTCTATTGAAACTTACAATTATTTCATGAACTGAAATCTTTTCTTTGTGAGTTTAGATAAAAAAATATCTTTAAAATTCTAACTAATTCAAATAATAGATAAGGGGAAATAACTCCTGCTATATTATTAATTTAAAACGCTACATATTGACATACACTTTGTGCACAATTGGACTAACACTTATTCCTGCAATAAAACAATTTTTGGTGTAATAAACTTAAATTACCTGAGTAAATTCATTCTTTAGTTTTGTATATTGTTGACATAAAAATGTTTTGTTTTTCTAGAAAACATACTGTTGTATTATATTTTGGTTTTGACGGCCTTGTGCCATGAAAATCTCTTTGTGGAGATGTTAATTTTGTTCACGCAGCCAAATTAAAAATATCGTTCTGATCAAAAATATATTGAAACAAACTAATCACTCTGCAACACATTTTCTACTTAAGAAATTAGTCCCTCTTAATTAAGATCGCATTATTTAAATCAAACCAAATTAATGCATTAGATGCATTGTTATGTCAAAGATGAATTTTATACCTACATAATCTTTTATTTTATATCCTAGACATCTCACCTATATTTTTTTTAACATTTTTGCAATCTATTTTGCGTCTGTTGCACATTCTCCCCCTCTCATATATATATAATGACTGGTTCCATCAAAACGGTTAAAGACTGAAAACTCGCCAATTTTTCCTTTACACACTTACCCTTAATTTGTCTGATTATATATATATATATATATATATATATGTATAACATAAATATATATATATATAATATAAAATTCGCTTGAGAATGAAATGGAACTAATGTCTTTAAGTTAATTACAAAATTAAATTCGGGGCTTTTAGCTTCCATTTTTGAAACATGGTTAGAACTGTGTAGCGAAAACCCATATTTTAAATCAATTAATTTATATATATATATATATATATATATATATATATATATATATATATATATATAATATGCATGTATTATATATATATAATATATGTATTAATATATGTATATATATATATATATATATAATTATTTATATATTATATGCGGTACTTCACAAACTCACATCAGTCCAACTATATATATATATATATATATATATATATATATATATATTAATACATATATATATATATAATATAATATATATATATATATATATATATATATATATATATATATATATATATATATATATATATATTATAAATTAATTATTATTAAATCGGTTAAAGCTCTTCGGTCATCGTCCTAAATTTTCCTATGCATTACTATTGGTCTAAGATTAAAATTTTACCCTTAATCATTTTTTAGTTCTGTATTTTTAGGTGACAATGATCATTTGTAACTGTTATGGTCCGGTTCCTTGTACCACGGTGATAGTCCAAGGTAGAACCAATAAAGAAGAACTCGAATACGGATATGGAATAACACAGATATATTACAAACAGGAATATATACAGAGAAGTAGAAAGTGTTAGCACGAACAATCAGGTTTAGTAGAGAGAACAATGTAGTCTCGACCAGTATCACTATTCCAATGTCTTATAGTAATTGTCTGAACGCGACTCTGTTTCAGACTGCCTCTAACTTGACTCTTGACTCGACTTGGACTACTGACTCGAACTACTGACTTGAACTACTGACGATATTCAGTCACCCCGCCCCTCACTGGGGCAGCATGTGACACAAGGTCGGTTATTTAATGTGAGATATCCGAGCCCCTGGGCTCGGCTCAAAAATATACCCATTGAACACGTATACACGGGTTCAGGGTCGGTTTACCTCCACTGACGAGACTCCGCCCTTCGGCGTAGCCTCGTTCGTATTCCGAGAGTTCAACCGAACAGCCGGTCAGGAGGTGAACGACTGGCGCTATTTATCACTGCCCCACGTAATCACATGTGGCACAAGGCCGAATTTAATCTGGGGTTCTCGAGCCCGTAGGCTTGGCCAAAAATATGCCCATTGAACCCGTATAATACTTCGGTGTAGCCTCGTTCGGGTTCCTCTCCGCCTGAAGGAAGAGAGTTCAACCGAACAGCTGGTCGAGAAAGCGAACGACTGACGATATTCAGTCACCCACCCACTGAGGCAGCATGTGGCATAAGGCCAGTTATTTAATGTGGGATCTCCGAGCCCGTGGGCTCGGCCCAAATATGTGCTCATTGAACCCTTATAAACAGGTTCAGGCCGGTTTACCTCCCCGAAGGAGACTCCGCCCTTCGGCGTAGCCTAGTTCGGGTTCCTCCCCGCCCGGAGGCAGATAGTTCAACCGAACAGTCGGTTCACAAGTGAACGACTGACCATATTCAGTCACCCCCCCCACACACACACTGGGGCATCATGTGACACAAAGTCGGTTATTTAATGGTGGGATATTCGAGTTATGCCCATTCCTCGTTTATCCCGGAAAGAGAATACCCTTCGGCGTAGCCTCTTTCGGGTTCCTCCCCGCCCGGAGGCAGATAGTTCAACCGAACAGTCGGTTCAGAAGTGAACGACTGACCATATTCAGTCACCCCCACACACACACACACTGGGGCATCATGTGACACAAGGTCGGTTATTTATTGTGAGATATCAGTGGTCTCGGCCCAAAAATATGCCCATTGAACCCGTACAAACACGTTCAGGACCGGTTTACTTCCCTGCCTACTCCTGAGGCGCAGTATTTATTAAGTATGGAATAGTCCATTATTATTATTATTATGGGTAAGGTCCATAACAGTAAAAATTCAGTGTAAGACAATGAATTATATTTTTATCATTATGTCTGAAGAGAAAATATTTTTGTGCCTGTGAAATAAAATTTTACAGAATTTTCTTTTCTACAAAATATATTTTTTATTAGAAAAATACCAAGAAAAAATTAGAAAGTGGGGTTGGGGACGACACGAAGAAAGATGAAAGGGAAAGATGAAAGGGAAAAGAAAGATGAAAGGGAAAAGAAAGATGAAAGGGAAAAGAAAGATAGACAAATGTGAAGACTTATCAAGTGTAAAGTGAATCAGTTTAAACGAAACAAAGGAGAAAAAACAAAAAATAAACACCGAAAAAATTGAAAGAAGGGACGAAGTTTGTCAAATGAATTCCTATTTACATATATAATGATCTTATTTTACATATATAATGATCTTATTTTACATATATAATGATCTTATTTGAACAATAATGAAGCCCTCATAAAAGGTTTCTCTTCTAACGTGTATCCGAAAACCATCAAGTGACTTGATATGATGGACCTTTTTTGACACCTGTTTTTGGTTAGTAAAATATAAAATATATTCATCATAACAACAAAGTGAGACATTTATAAATATATGTTTTTTAATAGGAATCACGACAATCAGGACAGTAATGCCACTAAAACACAAGGAGTTACAGAGTGTAGAAGAATCAAGAAGAGAAACATTAATGATGAGCAGAAAGTAATCAGGTGGATTGTAGTTAACAACAGACATTGCATTTAAATATTTGCAGATTAAAGTTGGCTGGAAAGTATGGAAACGTAAGGGAGTTCTACAAACAAAAAGTGCGAGAGAAGAAACTGTTAGCATAGAACTTACGGCTACATCTAGCCGGCTCAATTGTAAATTGATGAGATCTCAACGCCAGTCTAGTGCTGCGCTGAAATTCAATAACTCTAGGTAAATGGCAGAGAGCTCATCCGAACGATTACCATGAAAATATTTATAGAAAAGTCATAGAGTGGCAACATTACGGCGGTGGGAATGTTACTGGAGCTGAGCCCCCACATCAGGACCAATAATATTGGAGATTATTCTTTGGATCTTATCAAGGAGCTCAAGGTAAATAGCAAGGACGCCGGACCATATGGGACAGAAATAGTCTAAGCATGGACGAATGTTGTAAGATGTGTAAGTTCGATTCTAAAGAGAAAAATTATCTCGTCCGGCATAGTGAACCGATTTTTTTAGCAGATGACCCTAACAATGGATAATCTTTCCATTTCATATCACCAGAGAAGGTGAGCTCGAAAAAGAGCAATGAGTCAGTTTTTCTGGAGGATAACATCAGTCATTCTGATGGAGAGCAGAAAGGTGTCTCTCGGATGATTAATGGAGATAAGTTTAGTTTTGGAGGCGTTAAAATTAACAAGCCAATTTGACCCAGTTAACGATGGACGAGGTCGTTTGGAACATCGTCTGACAATTCGAACTTGTTAGGCTGATAAGCCTTACTATTGAGGGAGGAGTAAATTGTTGTGTCGTCAGCATAGATACCAAATTAAGAGTTAATGTCATCAGGAAAGGTAATTAATGAAAATTAAAAACAGAGTATGGCCGAAGATAAAGCCCTGGGGATACCTGCGTTAGATCGAAAGTCTCTCTCTCTCTCTCTCTCTCTATATATATATATATATATATATATATATATTCAAATTAATAAATAATGCAACTTAATTAATATTGTAAAATATTAATTCAAAGAATAAATCAATAAAGATAATGTAATTAATGGTGAATTCAAACTGTAACATATGGTAACACTGCCTTGAAATAGCTCAGTGTTACTCAACCTTTTTAAGCAAATGAAAATATCATTGAACATCTAGGAAAATTTTTAAAGCCTATACATTTAAATGTTATGAAATAAAACCATAGATTTTTTTTTAAAAATACACACAAATGTAAAGTTTAAATGACTACTCTATATATATATATATATATATATATATATATATATATATATATATATATATATATGTACATGCCTTTGACAATATTTCGCGGCACGTGTACCGTTACATGACGGTTGAGAATCACTGAAATAGTTAATATTTTCCCGTTAGAATGAAAACGAGACAAAACTCGGAGAGAGAAGTTCTTGTGACACAATAAGATTAAATAATTGTACAGACGAATAATTTATCACATGTGATGCTTAAAAGGTGTTTCTTTCACTTCAAATGAATAACACCACTGATGGAAATTTGCATCAACACAGATCTAGACAACCGAGAAACAATACCACATGAATAAACAGATATATTTACCGATTTCTAGATTAACAATACGGTTCATGAAATGTATCGCTCTTCAAAAAGTACGTCTCCTTTTAAATAATTTCTCTGATTTATAATTGGCTAAAGATTGGAAATTAGAAGTGACGAATAAAAATTACTATCTTTGCATTAGAATGCCAATTCATTGTACCTAATTATGGCAACAATGAATAGTATAAAATAGATAACATAATGATACGGCAAATCATATTATTTCGTTCCTGGCATCTTCAGCGTTTCAAATTATATCGACAGTGAATTCAAATACTGCACTTACCTCACTTATGCTAGAGACTTCATGCTAAATGCTGAAACTAACATCCAAAGCAATAAGCGTCAAAACAAAAGAGGTAGGTGATTTTCGAATTTAAGCGCAGTACTAGATTGGTCACAGTTGAAATGGCTAGTTGTAACTCAAGGTTTTTTCTATCGCACTTCTTACTTGTGGAACTCTCTTCCTGCTTCTTACTTTCCCGTCAACGTTGATCTTCAAAAATTTAAACGCAATATCAATTGTTATCTTTTGTCTTCTTAATTCTTGTTCTTTTCTTGTTCTCCCTCCTTAATAATGTTATTGTTTTTCTCACATTCTCTCTCATAGTAACCACCTCTTGTCTTAGTGGCTTCATTGCCTTGCTAAACAAAAACAAACGGTCATTACAGGATGTTGGAAGAGAATTCCATTGAAATTTGTAATTGCTTTATAAATTTCATCAAAAACACACACACACACACACACACACACACACATATATATATATATATATATATATATATATATATATATATATATATATAATTATTTATTTAAAAATATGATTCCAAATCGCTACATAAGAGGTCTCATGTTTCAAAACAAGAGCCGAAAACTTCAATATAATCCTTTAAATTAAATTGAGTTGAAAGTAAAATGGGCTCCGTTCCATCTTCAAGCGAAATTTTTGTTGGAATAACGTATATCTGAAATTTACTTGTTTTAAAATTGAAATCAAAATCCCCATGGTAACAGCTATGGTGAATTGTCTAAATTGGGTATTTAGAGTGTAGGGTGTTTATAATAAGTAGCGGTATAGAGATACTTTCAAGGTGTCAAGTCGGGGAAAAGGTGGGGTGTCAAAATGAAACGGAAGATGTATTGGCCATCGTCTAGTTTGCTTGTCTATGGAGATTTATTTATTTATTTTATTTTATTTTATTATGAAAGGAATTGTGCATATAAAAAAAAAAAAACTTTCGTAACGTTTGTTTTTTGACGACTTCATAAAGGGTTATCTTATATGTAAGGTATTTAAACTACGAAATTTAGGCTATGGATTATGAAGTGTGTTATGTAGTATGCATGTTTGTAGTTAATTATTCCTACTATGAATCTGATGATTGGGCTATTTGTTAAACAAGTTATATAAATTTTTATCTAAAAATTCAAACCAAAAATCGGATGATGCCTACAAAAACCGTTAACTCGTGTCTATTATTTAATAGATTATTATTATTTAGAAGTTTAATGATGTGCAATTTTTTATGGAGGCAAACAAGTAAATGGGTCATCCCAAGCTTTACAATATTCTAGAAAATTATTGACAATTTTAGAATATGTAAAGCTTGGGATTATATTGAAGTTTTCGGCTCTTGTTTTGAAATATGAGACCTCTTATGTAGCGATTTGGAATCATATTTTTAAATAAATAATTATATTTATGCTCTACTTTTGTATCGAGCACTATTTTTTAAAAATAATAACTAAAATACTAAGGGACTTTGGATTATTTACCTAACCAGTTCCTTCCTATTTTCTATATATTTTCACACACACACACACACACACACACACACACACACACATATATATATATATATATATATATATATATATATATATGAATAAAAGTGACAATATATATATATATGAATAAAAGTGACAATAGGAAAACTAGTAATTGCTGACGCGTATCGTCTAATGTTGACTTTATCAAAGCAAAATACGAAATGAATATAACTGAACAAGGTAACTAATAAAAACAAAAACAGAATGTTCCTAGCAACTAGAATGTAGAGAAACGCTATTTTCATATTGTTAATTGAAAATAACGTCAGTATTTATAATAAATACAGAAAAGACGGATAGAGGAACCAAACTCTTTACCTTCCGAAAATGAAGACGCGATGGAGGCGATTTTCGAAGCCTTCGAAATTCAAAAACCACAAGTAGCCATGGAGATCAGAAGACCAAGCCGAAAAAGAAAATTCACGGATCCACTAAAAATAGACAATAAGCGAAAAAATATTAACTCCCCCAAAAAAAGAAGCTAAGGAGAGGGGTGTTGTGGAGCTCCCCCTTTTTACATAAGATGGACTCGTCTAAAGTATACTTGTACTGACAGAGAGAATACCTGCTGTTGAGATACGTGGAGATACGTTGAGACAGGTTGAGAGATATGGAGACAGACACAGGGTGTTCTCAGAGAGTTATACAAGAGTCCAGAGAGAGAGAGAGAGAGAGAGAGAGAGAGAGAGAGAGAGAGAGAGAGATGATTACGGCTTTACTTACAGAGACTTGTACATATACTTTTCTACTAACCCGCATTCCTGGACTACTAATCTTCACTTCAAGTCTGTATTCTACGTTTAATACACTCATTTTTCTATCTCAATTACTGGCGTTGTTTATTTATTTGTGCAGGATTCCATTCACCGAATCCACAACACAAAGACGGTAAATTAGATAAATAAACGTATTTACAATAGATAAAACCTGCAATTACAAAGTTTTAGTTAAAGTTCTTAATCTTTGAAATATAGGAGTGGATTTTGCAACTGTTCCAATTATTCTGTCCAACCCCTATATATATATATATATATATATATATATATATATATATATATATATATATATAAATGACAATAGGAAAACTGTGGTTATAGCTGACGCGTTTCGTCCAATGCGGACTTCATCAAAGCTAAAAAGGAAATGAATTTAATTAAAGCACATAACTAATAATAACAAAAAACAGAATGTCCTTAGCAACTGGAGGAATGTAGAGAACGCTATTTTCATATTGTTAACTGAAAATAACGTCAGTTATTGTCACGTGTGGAGAACATTGTCATTATAACTGTATTGGCGGATTCAACCATTTTCTTTTGATTTTACGATATTGTTGTGTACGTTTGTTTGGCAAAGCAGTAATTTTGTTAAGAAAGGTGAAATAGGGAAAAAGCCTGGGCGTAGATTAATATTTGGGAATATTCTATGGCGGCACTCTCCAAATACCATGGGTTGACTCAAGCCTTATAAGTGAAATTGGGTAGACGAAATCCTTGGTGTCCGTAGATAGCTGTGCTAGCACGGAGTCACAAATCAGCGTAAACGAGGGTTTGAATGGGCTGGCCTTGTTCAGGTTGTTGAACACGCTAGATAACACGCTTCCAGAAACTGCAACTAAGGTCTGCACAGCATAGTTGCAATATAAGCCACAAGTGGGCTCTGTAGCTGTTGAAAAAAACACAAATGTGCCTGAGCGAACGTTTGCAGTAGGATTGGCTAGCTGCCCTAGAAGACGGGTATTCTCGTATACGAGTGGCCAGCTATTATATATATGTTTAATTACATATATGTATACATATATATATATATATATATATATATATATATATATATGTATATCTATATATATCTATCTATATATATATATATATATATATATATATATATATATATATATATATATAAATATAAATACATATTCAAAATATAAAAATATATAATTTAAATGTATAGAAATAAATATAAAGTATTTATAAATAAATAAATATAAATATAAAATATTTATAAATATATAATTCAAATGTGATATATATATATATATATATATATATATATATATATATATATATATATATATATATTCAAATTAATAAATATTGCAGTTTAATTAATATTGTAAGCTAGCCATTCGAAGAATAAATCAATAAAGTTAATGTAATTAATGGCGATTAAATTATAATTGCAAATTAAAAATAATAATGTTTTATTTTATGAAAGTATTTATTTATTTATATATATATTTGATATTTCAAATTGCCCTCAATCTTTCATCAGAAATAACTGTTTATTACAAAAATATATATATATATATATATATACATGTATCTATATATATAAATATATATATATATGTGTGTGTGTGTGTGTGTGTGTGTGTGTGTGTGTGTGTCCGTGTCTGTGTGTGTGTTTATGTGCCAGCTATGACATCGGTGGTTAACATGGAAATTAGAAACAGCCGTTAAAAATTACATTCAACTTAGAGGTAATTGCTGGAAAGCCATGACGGCAAATGGAACAGTCATTTACATTATGGAATAGCTTTGGAAATATCTTTGTTCTGCGCTGAACTCGCTATAGGTCATGGCGATGATATAAAGTAATATATTGTGCAATTAATGTTCATTACACATATAATGATTGCTGTTGGGTACAGAATTTTTTTTATTGCAGCAAGTTGCATACACTAAACAGAAAGATCTCGAACAGGCATATAAATATGACGAATAAAAAATAAACGTAGTATTTTTGTCTTTTGAATAAAAGATTTACAATCAACTCAATTTTTATTGAAAAATCTCAATTTCGACGGCTTCTTTTTCGTTCAAATTTGATTTGGCATTTCAAATCTAATAACTTTTATTTCCATTTTATTCCAAACAAAATTCCATTTGAATTTTCTCTTGGGAAGTTTCAAAAATATCTGTGATACCAGACGTAATTCACACTATGCACAGAGATTCAACCGTCTTAATATATAAATGCTACATCTAATAAAAAGTGAAAATAGAGATACGTACTGTTCCACGTTAACAAAATAATATCTATACGAATAGATCGCTAAAAGGAACAAGTGAACTAAATTAAAATTCTGACTAAAAGCGAAACAGCTAAAGCGATGACAAATAAAAGTAGCACTTTTAGAAATTTGGAATCCATTTGGCTACAGGACAAGTATGTCAGAGAAAATGAATACAACAAAATAAATAATCGTTCTGAAAGGCAAATAGAAAAGAATCTGTTAAGTAAAATAAACATTTTAAAATTTACATTTAAATGAAATATGAAGATAATTATCATAATTAGGATCGTACGAGGAACGGTGTTAGGAATCCTGACACAGTTTCAAAAATTAGAAACTTGCTCAAAAATATGAATATTTCGATACACTTTACGTGACTGAACGGCAAGAAAGCTTTTTATGAGTCATCATTCGTCCATGCTTTGAATTTTTTGCCACATCTGATCCGGTGGAGCTTCTATATATTTAAAGATTCTTGATAAAATCCAAGGAAGCATCTGCAGCGTTATTGGTCCTGACCTGACATCTCGGTTTTAGCAACATTCTATAGACTATACAGAATTAATTGCAAGGTCGGCTCTTCAGAAAGTTGGTTCACCGCGTCGTTGACATTTTCTCTTGACAGGATCATTCTTAGACTTCTATAACTCTATCATTCTTCCGTGCTTTGAATATTGCTGCCACAATCAGGTCTGGTGAATTTCTAGATTCTTGACAAAATTCAAAGAAGAAGCTGCAATAGTATCGTTTTGACCTAGTATCTCAGCTTCAAACACTTTATCACCGCCGTAACGTACCCTTGTGCCTTTCTATAAATATTTTCATGGTATTTTTTCTGATAAGTTACCTCCTTGGTACCGCGACTTGACCAATTTAAGCGCAGTACTAGATTGGCAGTTAGGTTTCATCATTTTACTCCTGGAATTACTTGATGACATTTTTCTCGATTCGGGAACACTTCTGATTTTCCTATCGACTATGATCTTCAAAGATGTAAATGCAACGTTATCTCCCTCTTATCTCCCTCTCCCCACCTCTCTCCCCCCCCCACTCTCTCTCTCTCTCTCTCTTTAAATATTGCTCTTTTAGGAGACACTATCTTCAATATTTTTCGCTGATTCATTTACTATGAGTAACCTCTTGCGCCTTAGTGGCTTCATCCCCTTGCTTGAGTGAAATGGTAAAAAATATTATTTATTAGTTATTTACAAACACAGAACATTTCCTACGGATAGAACCCAGAATAGCAGCTGCCTTTATGCAGTGGGTGAATTGGTACATTTTCGTCACAGTTCCAGAAGTGTCGAGCAGTACCAATCATCTCGAGCCACTTCGTGAGTTTAGTACATGTGGTACCCAGCCTACCAACAACAATGGATATAATTCCCCCTCTCTTCATTAACCCAATTTGTACTTTTCCCATTTTAAACTATCATTTCCTGTTTTTCTTCTTCTTTGTCAACTACTGTACTCTCTCATTTACAAAAGGAAACTTATTTGGCTACTCAAGGTTTCTCTCTGCACTTCTTGTCTTCAGTATGTCCTGTAAGTGTCAAATTTTTCGGGCTTTCTTTCTTCATTATGTGTCGCGGGAGTATCAACTGTTTTTTCTGATTCTTAGAATTTGCATATGTTTTCCTTTTGTTTCCCATTTTCCTTACAACTTTCTCGTTAGTCACATGTTATCGTTTTCTTCTGTAGAACCATATTTCCATTGCCTCAAATCTCTTCATCTATGAAGAAATTGTCTAGCAATTATTTCCATGTAAGAAGATTGATATAAATAGCAGTTCAGCGTAATTTTATGTTACTAACGATATTTTCCTGGTTCATGATACTTTGTTTAGCTTTTTGAAGGCATATTTCGTTATTTCATTTGCGCATTCGAATATATTTAATTACAGCACTTACAAATATTAAAATTATTTTTATCTCCGAACGAGAGACAAGAATATATTGAATAAGCTTCATATAAAAACCAAAAATTTACGTATCAAAATTTTGTTGGAACCATATTTTTGAGATTTTATTTTCTTCATTATTAATTATTGTACCAAGCTAATTCAACAGTATATACTGAATAATAAATCAGGCGTAATTAATATAGAGTTTATATTATAAGTAGGTGCCTACAAAAATTTGGTAAAACATTAAACATGATAAAAACATTAAACATGATAAAAAATGAACACCCAAAATAATAAAATGAAAGTTTAATCGTCAAAATATTTATTAATAAGAAGGAAGATCAAAGGATTGTTTAATGTAAAAATTATATTTCTTAATCCATTTTAGAGCCTTTTAATTTTTTTTTTTCTAAATCTTGTTTCTCTGATGTCAACGTTGTATCATGATTAAGCATGGGCAACATTAATGTCATTTGCGATTCAAAATACACTGATTTGGAAATTCTTGCAAAAAAATCAGATAATTGTCAGACTTTAACTTATTCACATATGAATTAAATTATTTTCGAAATGTTTCTTTTTAGAAATTTTTTGTGAAAATATTTGTGAACATATGTTACTACCCCAATACTTATTTAATTTTATGAAATCTCCAGAAACTTTTTTTTTTTTTTTTTTTTTTTTGTAGTGCTTAATGACTATATTAGTTGTAAAGACAATTTAAATCATTAAATTCCTTTGGTCTGAGAGTACAGTAAATCTGCTCTGGATCGTAAAATAAAAAAAAATTCAATAAAACTAAGATATTATTTAAATAGAAAAACTTTTAATTGCTTTTATATATAAAATATTTTTCCATGAATAATAAACATTTACAGGTATTGTTTTCATTATTTTAAGTCATTATTAATTTGTAGTTGTTAAGGGATTTCAAATAAGACTAAACGGAAAAATCTCACGACAATTCAACGACTCCGATATTTTAAAAGAATTTTTGATTTATTTTATATATGTGTGTGTTGATTTTTGTAAATATGGATGTTCAAACCTGACATTATCATAAAATAGGAGCAATAACTATAATAAAGTTAAAATTTATTAGCAATTTCCTAAGATTTCCTCAACAAGCGTCTTCGTAAATGAGACTATAGAGCCAAAGTAACTAACATTCAATAAGGTATTATATTGTTTATAAGATTATTGGGTAGTTATTATATTGTTACAGTTATGTCTACTGTAGAAAATATTCCCAAACATAAGTCTATCGAGATAGTTGTCAACACATCATAAAAACAGTCACATCCTCGTTAAAAAATGATTTTCAGCGATATTCTAATAAGTAAGTAATGCTTGTTTCAAATCAGATTAATTAAACTTTAAATCAGCTAATATTCCTCAAACAGAGTTTCAGAAAGGTACATTTTTTATGAAAGTTTTTTTAATAAAGAGGATTTCCTTGTGTTGACAAATTTGTCAATATGGAGGATTTTAGCGTTTTCACTCATAAAAATGATATCCCAATCAATTTAAATACACTTTGAAATACAGCAATGTATTTTGCTTAATGGGAATATTAATCTATTAGCTTGGAATTAAAACTAAAACTAAAAGCTTCAAGAAAGATTTTTTCATTTTTAAAAATGCATTTTTAAAAAAGTATCGCGTTTCTTTAGGAGGTCTCTAATTATAAATGTTTTGCATTTTAATTTGTCATAATAATCAGCGGGATGTTAAAAACTCCTGGCGGCTATGGGGTTCATAGGGAGCCTCTTGTTTTCTTACATTAAATAACAATTTCATGAATGTTATCAAGAAAATAAAATGCTGCTGAACCACATGACTGTATTAGGCATGTAGACATGTATATTTGATTTACCTGTATAAATTTCACAGGAGGAAAAGCAAACGTTTTTTGTCCGTCTTCATTTATTTGTCTATAGAGGTGGAGAAAGAAAGAGGGGTGGAAAGAGAGCGGTAGAGAGAAAGACAGATCCGCAAATGTCCAATGGTATTTGGGTGAAAGAGAATGCACTGATCCCGACTGGAATTTGAACTCACTCCGCCAATCTCATTTTGCACCCTGATAACCGATAAATAATTTGTTGATAGATCTGCACAACGTAAATACTTTGGCCCTTCTCTTCCGGGAGTAAGAGTGGGCCAAGTGTCAATTGTAGTTTTTTCTTTTTGTTTCACTCACTGCGCGATGAAAGTGTTTACCTTCTTATATTTTTATTATCAGCTCCTTTCTTTTAAAATTTAATATACTTAATTCCTTCACCAAAAACGTTATTCTCTGAAAGGATATATGATGAAAAAAATACCCCAAACACAATAAAAACAAAATTTTATCGTCAAAATAGTTGTGTTATTCACAAAGGAGATCAAAGTAATTTTTATGTAAAGTGTATTTTTATTCTTTTAAGAACCTTGGATATTATTGGTTAAAAATATTGTTTTTCTGGTGTAACTATTAAATTTGTACAGGGTATTTGAGCGTCTTTTTTGCGGGAATATCCTATTATTTATGTATTTTTAGTAAATAAACTCTTTTGATTGAGAAATTATTGCAAAAATCAGATTGCCGGATTTTAATATAACTTTCAGAATAAATTATTTTTAAATAGAAAATCTTGGTAAAATATTTTTTATATTTGCCACCCACATCCCATTTATGTAATTTATGAAATTTCAAGAAATTATTTTTTGTAGTGCTTAATATAATTGCTTATAAGAACAAGTATTAGGAGAATTTAAATCAAATCTTTTGACTAAACAAAAACCCAAATTACTGCTCTGGATTTTAAAATAAAATTAAGACATTATTTAACTAAAAAAGCTTCCAATTGCTTTTATGCATAAAATATATTATGGACAAATCTCTTGTCTTAAAAAATATTTTTTAGATGAATAATGAATCTTTAAAAGTTTTGTTTTCATTTATAATGATTTTATAATGTTATTAAATGAAAATTGTATTTACAAATCATAAATGGAAAAGCTCACAATTCAACAACCAAAATAATTTTGATGTTTTTATATGCGTATAAACGACCATACAGGACATTATCAGAAAATATGAGAGATACCTATAACAAATTTAACGTTTATTGGTAATTTTATAACATTTTCTCAACAGGCGTCTTTGAAAGTAAAGGTATAAAGTCAAAGTGTCTAAAATTCAATATTAGAATATTTAAAAATTTTAAGAATACTGCGTAGTTAAAAAATTATATAAAAAAGATTCATTCACGTTGTATTCATCATGGAATTTTTCCAGTAATTGTCCCCTTAGTTAAATTTGCCAAACATCACAGTGTCATCACAGTGTCAACACGTCAAAACACACCCACTCGGTTTAAAAAAAAAATATGCTTTTTTGCGATATTTTAAACAAAAATTAACATTTATCTCAATTCAAATTAATTAAACATGAAATCAGATAATTTTTCTCAAATAACTTTCGAGAAAAGTATATTTTATTTTTGAAAGATTTTTTTTATAAAGAGAATTACGTTTGTGTCAAGAAATTTGTTAGTATGGCCGAATTTAATAGAATTTAGATTGAACTAGCTTTCATTTTTTTAAAACCAAAGGTATCACGCCAACAGATTTAGCTATCCTGCTGCTTCAGCCAACTTTAAAACATGTTCTCCTCCCCACCCACCCCCATATATTTAAAGTATAATAATAAACTATAATTTTGGAAAGTGAGAATTTCACTAAAATATCTGTCTATATTTGACAGGAGGTAACTGATAATTGACATCCATTAGACATGGCACGTGAAACTAGAACAGTTTACCTCAGCGAGCGAAATAAAAGGTTCAGTCCGACATTCCAACCACCTGAAGAAGGCCGGAGCGTACAACGGTCGCAACGTTGTGATAAATATGGTAACAAAGATGAGGACAATAGTCCGAATAATGTAAATACTGTTCACTGAAATACATTAGAAGTTTTCATCTGAAATGGAGAAAATACAAGCTTTATGCAAAATAGTCAAAATATATGCAAGAAAGAAAAAATTAGTTTAAACTAACAACAAGAGATTATAATGGTTTAAGAGGATACGGTATTAAGAAAGATGGCACGGTGATGCCTGATATATTTATCAGACCATTTTTGATCGTTTCTCTTATGAATTGAGATAAATGTATTCTGCCTTTAAAGTAACCATGGAAACACTGGTCTTTAAACGCTATACTCATTATTTCTAAATTCTCTAATTCAAACCACAGAGATACAGCCGCCTGCAACGTTATTTGGCATGGATATTCTTTAATGGATAACATTCCTCATTCAATTACGTAATTTCAATGTTACAGCCAGAGGCTACGATCAGGTGATGGACAGAAAAGTATTTGTGCCGAAGAATGGGAAAACAACAACCAGGTCAATAGATTTCTGAGGAGGAAGAAGGAAATATTACAAACCATACAGGCATATCAGACACAAGTGTATTTCATTATATCACGAACGCGCGTGTGTATACGTGTGTGTGTGTGTGTGTGTGTGTGTGTGTGTGTGTGTGTGTGTTATTACGAGCACATTACGAGCACATCACCATTCTCTCTCTCTCTCTCTCTCTATATATATATATATATATATATATATAAAGTGTATATATTTATTATTTTGTATGTGCAGTACTTAGTGGAAAGTGCTCAATATCAATGATAGAGCTAACATATTCATATGGATATGAGTTTTGTGATCATAAGATAAACTGGTTTATTTTTAAAATAATAATATATTTGGTGGTAGGAGGGGGAATTTGTGGATGTGTATCTGCGCCTGGCCTCGGATTGTTTATATGGGTGCGTTTGTGTGAACTAAGACGCATATATCTGTATGTATGTGTGTCTATGTGTGTGAGAGTGTCATCCTGAACAGACACAGAGGGAAATTCCTTCTCCTACCACCAAACATAGTTAACAAGCATAAATAGATCCAATTTTAAAAATAAACCAGTTTGTCTGATGATTGCAAAAGTGTGAACCCCAGGGTCACAAACTCATATCCATATAATATATATATATATATATATATATATATATATATATATATATATATATATTCAGTTGTGGACTGACGATTGCGTCTAGCATGAAACAGCCTATCGCCTCTAAGTGTTAAGTTCAATGTTCACTTTTATATTTACACACGATCTATCTCTGATATTGATCAGTTTATCCCATAACTATAGCACACCTTAAGAGTATATTTTTCATATATATATATATATATATATATATATATATATATATATATATGTGTGTGTGTGTGTGTGTGTGTGTGTGTGTGTGTGTGTGTGCGTGTTGGCAAAACATTTTAAAGGAAGTAAACTTTTAATCAAAATGCGTTAACATTAGTCATGTAAACTAAATTAATAAATTTAAATCTCTTTAAACTCATGTAAATTATTAACAGATTGATTAAGACTTTTCTGGTTATTTAAAGCCAGAAACCATTTTTCAGATTGCAATAATTTGGAGGAGATATTGATATAAGTCCTACTAGTTAAACCATAGTTGGAGGAAAAAGATGGATTCTTAACTTTCCCAAGGGTATTTGTGCGTAAGTGAATATAAAGATACCGAATGAAATTTGAACTAGGTTCTCCGATTAACAATTTCGAGCCATTATCCATTACACACTTACATCACCTGGTTTTCCCAAGAGGTTACCTATATAGATACTGATCAGGCTCAACTTTTCTTATGTTCGATGATCTTGCGAGAGCCGGTGTTTCAACGTGATATGGCCGTAAGCCTCGTCGAGGTGAAGACGCCGACCTCCTCTCCCATGAACCAATACCAATACCAGTTTTGATGGCACCGTCCAGAAATATGCATGAAAATGTTACTTTTTAACCCCCTGTAGAGGGAAGCGTGAACCAAAACTGGGACCCTCCCCAAAAGATGTCTCTTCAATCATGCCACATGTCTGCCGTGTTCCCTCTTCTATTAGGACAACTGTAAGCCATGGACAGGTTCGTTGGGTTCTTCAAATCCAAATCTCCTCATTTGTGCATGGGTAAGAAGAGTTTAAGTTCTTTGATTCTGCGGTCAAAGTCCTTGACACGTTCTGTTCGCTCACTAGAACACAACAAACGTCCCCACTCTTATTATAATTTGGGCTTAGCTTTGTGATTCTTCATATAGCATCCACTGATGAACTCCCCGGTCTCTTTTCTGGCGCCACACAGTCTTTCTTTGCAGGAGATGAACCAAGGTTTTTGTCCATTTAGCAGGACAAGGGTTCTTCTTTAGGAGTGAAGGAGATGACTGATTGGGCAGAGGACGAAGGGCGAACCATCTTTGCTGGTGATGTTTTGCGGTGCGGAAAGTACCCTTACCTGGTCTTTCTTAAGCCTCTAGATTTTAGTTACATTATCCCAGTACGGATCCTTTTCCTTCCAAGGATATATGGCCGAAATATTGCCTTTACAGTTGTGGAGAGTGGAACTGTTCATTTCCTTGGCCTTTAGTTCCTTTGGTTTCAGGGAAATGAACTCCCGATGTTCAAACCTTCTCTCTACTCTTGCCTGCAACCTACTATTCCACATACTCTTTGTCAGATAAAGAGATATCGGGAAAAGCGGGGCCCAGTAGGGACGTAAACGATGGCTTTGCGACGCTAGTTAGGATTGCGGACGTAGAGAAACTTGAAACAGGGCTCTGAGATGAATTTTGGTCGGCAATGAGCTGATCGCCAGAGGCCTTCTCTGAGCTGGAACGGCCCAAGTGATCAATATTACCACACTTCCAGTATGTCGGTTTCCTACTCGCCACGATGACAGTTAACGTTCTCCCACCAACCCCCAAAGATTTAGGAACGGAGCTCAGAGCCTGCCTTGTTAACATAATGTTGAAGCTCCAATCCCTGTTCTTGAGGTCAGACGAGACTATAATAATCTGACCGTACTGTTTAAGTTAAACAGCCAACGCTACTTCAAATTAGGAGGAACTTCATACACTGCTACTCTGGTCTTTCGCATACAATCTTCGGGTGTGGACAGCTGTATGTCCCATATTAACATTCCGACGCCTTTGATAATTTGCTGGGGCAAATTACTCAGGGGCGTCAAATCCTTAACAAGGATATCTTTCGTGGAGTGAAAAATTTGCGCGTACACTTGTTGACCACGAAGACGGACACAGTTTGCTTTTCTAACTTCCCGATTACTTCGATGTCCAGCAACAGGGCACCATCTTTAATAAGATGAACGTCCCTATCAGGCCTCTCCAATAATTTCCCTAAGTTCACTATGCACATTGGCGGGAACTTCAATCTACAAGCTAACTCCTCACTCCTCACTCACTGCACCGTTGGTCTTGGTGTTCGCCTGCTGGTTTTTCTCTTTGGGAGACGACTAGGTCTTTTTGGACAGTTCCCTGGGAAACACCTGGTCCTCTCTTGGAGGTGCTAACTCTTTGGTTTTTCCTCTCTTTGAAGCACTCTTTTATCCGGGTATTTGCCTGAGAAGCGGACCCCATAAGGGTCATTTTATTGACTAACTGTCAGCTATGCTGAGAAGTGGCAACACTCCTCAATAACAGAAAAACCTCGAACGAATGAGCACAAAATAAAAGCCTTTTCCGCTCAAGAACATGAAATAACAAACAGCACAAAAATAGAAAAAAGATCAAAACTCCAAAAATCATCACGCATAAAATTGGTAGCATTAACACAAATATAATCTGAGTTGGAATGAGCGCTAAGAACTTCCCCTCCACAAATTTATAGATAAATATATGATGCATGCTGGGATTTCTCCTAATCAACAAAATGCACAACGTCTCGGTCTCATCCGCAATATTTCTGTTCTTTCTTGTCTTGAAGTCAGAACGCTACAATCACCTGACGGTGTTTGCGTGTTAACACTATTCTTTCTTTGTGATCATTTTGTTGTACTATTGCTTTAACTAGTTTTGTCTGGAATATATATATGAAATTAACAGTTCATATAATTAGTAACCTTAACCTGACACTCAGGTAGAGTCGTAAGGCACACGCCAGAATCAAATAGACAGCTCAAGCAAATGCTTTTTCTTTGGCAGGCATTAGTTTATTTCAGGAGGAGGACAACTCTTTGCTGGAATTAGATCACTTACATACAGTCACAATAATGTTTCCACTGATGATGATCGAACTCACGTTTGAATAATCTGCGAAAATAATTTTCAAGTCATCGTTCTGGAACAGAAAATAAAGGCGTCAGGAAATACTTGACTGACACAGCAAAACAAAAAAAACACAAAACTTATAAGAAGTTAAATATTTTACACAGAATATTATCGATTTTGAAATTATATTAAAATTAAGAGTGGAATATACAGTGGAATATACAGTGATTCGTATATTATGGCTTATCAACCCTTAAGAGCGCAGCTTATTTAAAGACAGAAAATATTTTTAGATTGTATGATTCTTTTTGAGATAATACTGATTTATTGAAATAAAAAAAAGTTACATCAACAAGAAATTCAGGAATGTAATTTTGCACTGCAAAACATACCCAAATGCCGACTGTAGAAGTGATCACCTCCTGATGATATGTAAATTAAGAGTGAAATACGGAAACTGAAAAGGCCTAAGGCATCACCCAAATTGCAATGCGACAGGCTCTTGAACGAATCTGAAGGAGAAATATATGGACAATGGGAAAAGCAAATACGAGGGTCAAAGGGAAAATGGAAACTAGAAGCAGGACACTTTAAAAGAAGCTTTAGTAACATCAGCAATCGAGGTCATCCCAGAGAAAAGAAGACGAAGGAAAAAATGACGAACTTCTCTACATGGCAAATAGTAAACAAATAGCCATGCTAAGACCCGGAACAACATATAGGACACTACACAAAGAAATAAGGAAAAATGCTGGCAGGCTAAAAAGGAATGACTCAACGAAAACTATGCAGAAATAGAAAGAATGAATATCGCAAATAAAGCAGATATGCATAAAAAATAATAGAACTACGAAAACATGAGACATGATCATCAATAGAATGCATCTTTATGCATCCTATTGATGATCAATCCAAGGACGGAACGCTGATAAGTAGAGAAAGAAAAATTCCTTCAGAGATGGAACGAATATATCGGATAATTCTTCCATGCCGAAAGAGAAAAACCGGCAATACATAGAAATATCAACGGACAGGAAACATTAAAATCTGAAGTGGAATTTACACGAGCTAAATTGAACAGAAATAAAGTGGTAGGAATTGTACTAGAAATGCTGGCACCCTTAGACAATTTCGTACCAGATTACGGAAATAATAAATGAATAGTGGTGATATACAGGAAGACCAAAGTAGACCTATTTTCATAGCACTGCTTAAGAAGCCAGGAGCCAACGAATGTGAAATCAATCGGACAATCAGCTAATGAGTCACATGACGAAACTAATCATCCTAATTTTGATGAATAAAGC